AGCCCCGTCCAGAGCGCCCCTTAGCCAAGACCCCACGGGCTAAAGCCACAGGGCTTGTGAGCAGGCCTGAAAGGGCGCCGCGTGACCTTAGGTGAGACGCGTGGCTCGGTGGCAAAAGAGTCAGAGTCACCTTCCTAAGCAGGCTGTTTCCCAAAGTTGACGGGGGAGGTCAGTTTCCCAGCGTGACACCGCACACGGGTGTGGACGGCGCGGCTGCTCCCCTCGCCTTTCCCTCGCAACCCGTCCATCACCTTCTAAGCTGTATTGGCGGTTCTATGCGTTGTTCACAAGAACTCGAAGCAGCTTTGACTTCAAGGAATGTTGCAGATTGGGTATTGGCAGTTTTCCACACTCGGGCCTGTGCAAGCTTGTGAAGGTTGCACGGGCACGCACGCACACACACACACACACACACACACACACACGGGGGGGGGGTGAGTTTACAGCAACACGGGAGCCCTTTCAACAGCAAAAAGCAGGAGGGGCTGTCTAGCTTCAGCTGATAGAAAGTTGTTAATGGCAGTGAGTCTCTAACGTGGGATGTGCCAGGTGCAGCCTCTACCACCCATCATGGGCTGCAGGTCCTCTAGATGTTGAGAAAGCTGCACCTGTGTAAATACACACACCTTTGCTCCTAAGGAACAGATACATCCCTCACAGGAAACTTGGCCCTAAACAAGTCACTTTCAGGAAGCTAGCATGATGGAACCTCAGGCTGCAGCCCCTCCTCCTACTCCAAAGATTCTTTCTGTTGTTACAGCCCTTATGGGCAGGCCTGGAGCTTCTAATATTTTGTGGATTTTCGTCTTGCTTGCCTCTGGTGTGGAAAGGGACTAGTGATGTCCTCACACCGTTGCTCTGTTACCAACTGTTCACTTAGTTGCCTCTTGTGCTTACCCAAGCCAGTACTCAAGCAGCCCAACCTCTGCTGCTGCTTGGCCATGTCATCTGCCCTGGGGCAAAAGCAAGCTGTGGTCTAAACTACAAACCAAGGTGCCCCATGGACCATGGAGGATACTCACCCTGTGCTCTGGTTCCCTGGGGTCCCATGGGGACTGCCACAGGCTCTATGGGCTCATGAGCAATTTACCCTCACATTCAGGGAATGTAGGTAGCTTCCATAGGGTGATGGTAGAGAAGAGTTTGAACTAAGACTCTTGGAGATGCAGCCTGACTACCAAAAGTGATATCCAATTATGCTAAGGCCTGCTAGTTTCTCTGTGCATACTGGACATGGAAGGTCAGGGGCCCCTTCTCTGGCCCTGAGGATGAGTGGGGCTGCTAGGGAGATGCCTTTGAAACAGAGCTCCTGAGTGCTTCACTGTACCACTTCATGTTAATCATTACAGACCGAGCTGACTGCAGGTGCTTTCAGCTACTCCGAAATCACCTGGAGACCACAAAGGTAAGGTGAGCCAGCCACTGTCTTTATCTACACCCCTGCATTCTTTCTGGGATAATATCAATAATCACTCTGGCTTGTATTCTTAAAATGGAGTAGACTATTTTAATGCAAGCTTATCCCATGTACATTGTAGACTGCTCAGAAAATATAATCATATCTGGGGCTGAGGCAATGACCCAGTCAGTAAAGTGCTTGCTGCAAAAGAATATGAACCAGAGTGTGATTCCCCCAGAGCCCTCCCACATAAAGGCCCACGTTTACAGCAGCACATGAAGAAAATACCAGCACTAGAGACATAGAGGACCCTTGGAGCTTGGTGTCTGGATGGTCTAGCTAAAGAGTAAGCTCTGAGTTTAAGAGACCTTGTCTCAAAAAAAAAAAAAAAAAAAAAAGGAGAGCAATTGAGGAAGACTTCCAATATCCACCTCTGGTCTCCACACACATCAACTTTCTTCCCACCACTGAGCAAAAGCTGCTGTTAAGATTTCCAGATATTTTTTCCTATGTGGAAGTATATGTAGCTTCTTAAAAAGATTTATTATTTTTCCTTAATCCCAGCACTTGGGAGGCAGAGGCAAGCAGATCCTTGTGAGTTCGAGGCCAGCTTGGTCTACAGAACTAGTTCCAGGACAGACTCCAAAGCTACACAGAGAAACCCTGTCTTGAAAAACCAAAAAAAAAAAATTATTATTTTAATATGTGTGTGAATGTATGTATGTGTACTACATGCATGCAGGTGCTCACAGAGACCAGAAGACGGCATAGAATCCCCTGGAACTAGAATTACAGATGGTTGTGAGTCACCATGTGAGTACTGGGAACCAAACCTGGATCCTTTGGGAGAACAGCAGTGTTCCTAACCACTGAGCCATCTTTCCAGCCCACTTTTCCATTTCTAAACGTGGGGGGGGAGCGGTCAGAGGACACCTTGTGGAAGTTGCTGCTCTCCTTTGATGTGGGCTCCAGGGATTGAATGCAGCCAGCCCCTATGCCACTCTCTTGAGGAGTCATTCACACAGTAGAACCCATTATCAAGTGACTGTGAACTCCTTCAAAACATGGTACTGATGCCATGGTTGAAACCTCACTTACATAGTGTACGGCTTCCTCACTCAAGGCCCTGCTGAGTTCATTCAAAAGGGCACAGCCTTCCCCAGGGTCACTGCTACCCCTTCACTCTTCCCTAGCCCCAGGCCACCACGAAGCTGCTGTCTGCCTCCGTGGGCTTCCTGTTCAGATCATTCTTGTAAACAGAATGATGCACGTGTGCAGTCTTTGGCGGTTCTCTTCTAGCGTAATGTTCTCAAGATTTACCCATGTGCACAGTGATGCTTTGTTCCTTTTTATGCTGACTAATATTCCGTTGTGCAGGTACACTGCATTTTGTCTGTCCTTTCACGGGCTGAATATTTGAGTTGTATCTGCTTTGTGGCAGTTATGAATAAAGCTGCAGTGAAGACATGTGAGCAGGTCTGTGTACATCTCTCTTGGGTGAAATGACAAGGTGCTGAAAACCCAAGGCAGCCACACCATTCTGCAGTTCCTCCTGAACATTATGAAGGGCCAGCCTGCGTGAGGGTCCCAGGGGAGGGAGTGGGCAGCTGAAGGGAAGGTGACCGTGGTGTCACAAGCATATATGTCTCTTGAAGCGTTTGGTTGTGAATAGGTGGGGGAGGTAAAAGAGCTGGAGGGAAGAGAGAACAGTTCAGTAGCTGTGGGACTTAAGCTGGTTGACTCTGGTCACTAAGTCTACTGGGGACAGACAAGGGACAGGGGACAAGTCTTCCCTCAGGGGATTCAATGGTTGTTTTTAAAAGGGGGCTCTTGTGTAGCTATGCCCTTGAATGAGAAACTCTGCCTTGTTTGTGGTGGTGGGAGACCTAGGATCAGAAAGCTCAAGTGGCTTTGGAATTCTTGAGAGCCCTTATGGAGATTGTCTAAGCTATAAGCAGTTGCTGGGGGAGAGGAGACAGAGACAACTGCAGACCATGCAGTCAGGGAGCTTCAGGGAGCTCCAGGCATGCAGATTCTGTGAATCCTCAACCATGCTGGAGTAGGCTGTAAAAGATAACAACAAAATGCTATTTATTTATATATTTGTGTGTGTGCATCCCACAGTGTGCATGCGGAAGCCAGAGAACAACTTTTGGGAGTGGGTTCTCTCCTTCTACAACGTGGGTCCCAGGGATTGAACTCAGATTGTCAGTCTTGGTGAGAGGCAAGCACCTTTACCCACTGAGCCGTCTCTCCAGCATGCAGTAAACCTTTTGGTGATGGCTTTGTGTCACCCACACTCCTATAATTAACCCCAGTAGACTCCTTGGTTCTCTAATCTAGACTCGGAGTAGTTCCTTTGGTCTGCAGTCACTGCCCGACCTGGGACAAATGGACATTATTCACACCTCCTCAGGAAAAGTCACTGCATAGGGAGAAAGGGTGATGGCAGCAGAGGGCAGATTGGGCGTTGGGGGTTGGGAAGGTGGAGGTGGGGAGCTGCTCTCTTAGGATTGAAGGCTTGGTGACATCTGTGATAGCAATGTCACTGACTTGCAAGGTGTGGTGACTTCCAGTGACTCTCTAAATCAGCAGAAGGACTTCTGGGGATTTTGCTGTCATAGAAAAGGCAGGACAGTGGCAACAGGGAGGCATGATGGGGGCCTGGTGATTGATGGGATCATGCCCCAAACTCTGGCAGGTGGGGGAAGAAGCAGAAGGCTGTTCAGAAGAGGCCCCCAGACTGGGAGGACAGGGGTTCAGAGAGGAACCCTTGTGGAGTTAGATGCAAGCCCCAGGCATGCAGGGAGCTTTGCCCCTTTTCTGGTCTCACTTGCCTCTACCTTTGATTCTAGAACTGTGTACTACTTGATCCCAGAGACTAGAAGTGCTGGGATAGCAGAGCTGGGGCAGAGGAGGCTGGTTTTACAGATAGCCAGACTGAAACCAGCAGAAGCAGAGGACACAGGATTGTTTAACACCTCACTGCTTCCTTCCAGCGCTTTTTGCAAGGATTAGCTGGTGTAAGGCTTAAGGCAGGGGACTTATGGAAAGGCCTGTTTGGGGAACTTGGCTATTGCATCCTGATTTCTTGGAAGTCAGATAACAGCTTAGTTTCGGTTTGGTGACATGGGACTTTAGCACAGGCGGGTGAGGCTGTGCCCTCTGGCAGCTGGGTCTGGTGCAGCAGCCCATGGAAAAGTAAAGCTAACTGACACCTCTGGTCCTGGGTAGGCAGCTGGTGAATAACTCATCCAGGTGGGGGTAGGGATTGAGAATGAGTACCTCATGGGGAGATGCTGCAGATATGGGCAAAGTCCAGAATGGCTTGATGACCAAGTCAGCACATCACCCAGGAGGGCAAGGCCTGGATGACTAAGGCTTCTGTAGGCCAACATGGTGGACATATACTCAAACAGGTTTGGGGAACAGAGATGGGCAATGTAGCAGGGATGAAGATAGGGATTGGGGTGGTAGGTGGGGTGCTGGGTAGGTAGTGTCCTCTAACCTGTGTCCTCTGCAGACCCTCAGAATATGCCATTGCTTGGAAATAGAGTCCCTGCAGATGAGGTCAGCCCCTGATCAGTGTAAGGCTCCCCATACTAGAGGAAAAGAGGGTCCTGGTCAATAGGCACCAGCAGCAGCAGCCTCCCACAGCTGCAGAGGAGGCATGGGCTCCACTCTCTCAACTCTGGCTAGGGCTGAGTTTCTGTTGGGGTAGGGCTGGAGCAGCAAGGAAGTATGCAGAAAAGCCTGGGGTTGCAGCCCATGCTGCAGACACATCTTGCTTCCTGCTGGTTCCCTGGCCCCCAGGAAAGCCTGAGCTGTCCCTCCTAATCCTCTCAGGCTACCAAAGGAGCCCAGCTGGGAGGAAGCAGAGAGCAGTGAATGTAGTGCTCTCACGTGGGCTTTGCCGTGGCTGCCCGCCCCCCTCCTTACCCCACCGCGCCCTCCCTCCCTCTCCCAAGACCTCCATGCCCTCCTCCCTCCCCTTCCCTCTCCTCTTCCTCTTTCCTCCCTCAACCTTTCCTTTGCTCCACACCCTGCTTGCTTCTCCCTCCTTTATTCTTTCTCTCCACTCCCGTCTCTCCTCCTCTTCCCTTTCCCCAGCCCCTCCACTTCCTCTTCCCTTTCCCATCCCCCTCTACTTCCTCTTCCTCCCATCCCCCTCCACTTCCTCTTCCCTTCCCATCCCCTCCACTTCCTCTTCCCTTTCCCCAGCCCCTCCACTTCCTCTTCCCTTTCCCATCCCCCTCTACTTCCTCTTCCCTTTCTCACACTCCCTTCCTCCCATGCCCATTGCTCAGTTAGGAACACCGAGGCATCCAGATGTCAGGAGCGCACACGTTGCAGGTGTGAGTCCCCTGTGGCTCCTGTGAGGACTGAGCAGCCGCATAGCAGCTCACAGCAATGTAATGTTATCGTCTGAGGGGTGTAGAATGTGAGAGGATCTGTCTCTGCCCTCCCTGACTCCTGGAGCCTGCCTGCTTCCCTTGGCTCAGGGCCTCTTCCTCCTGTGCCTCTATTGGTTGTGTCTCTGACTTTCCTCCTGCCACCCTCTCACCTCCCAGGACTTTGTGTTTACCTCAGACCTATCTAAAGAACCCAGCTGCATGTGCTGTGTTCTCTGAGTTCACTGCTGAGAATGCCCATTTTCAACATGAGGCGCCGGGAGGTGGAGCCTTTGGAAGGGCGTGATCAAAAGACATCATCATTATCTTATCTCAAGGGCTTTGACGTGGCCACATCTAGAGTCCCTTTGCCACCCAGGCCACACCTGGCAGGGGCTCCACGGGCTGAACATCTGCCAGATCAGAACCAAAGACAGCATTTCAGCACATTGGCTCCTGTTGGAGCTCATGCCAAGAGCACTGAACATTTGAAGCTAGAGTAGTGGCCTGGGCCTGGCATTCCACTTCTAGGCCATCCTGGGCAACTCAGTTCTAAGAAAAAAAAGAGATGGGATGAAGTCAGTGGTAGCAGAGCCCTAGCTTGGGATGCATAGGGCCCTGAGTTCAACCCTAACCCCTTAAAAAAGGGAGGGAGAGAGGGAAAGGGATATTTAGGAGGCCCAGCCCACATGTGGCCAGAGGAACCAATGAAGCCAAGCTAGGCAGAAGGTGGCTTCCGCTGTAGGGGACTCCAAGGAGCCTGAGCAAGGAGATGGAGCTAGAAAACAAGCCAGAATGAAGCCTGGCTCTCACACCAGGGAGCATGGCGGCATTGCGGGGCTATGGTGTCTGTAACCACCCTTGCTCACCCACTTCTATTGATGGTAGTTTAGATAGTGCCCTTCCTCCCTGTGGTCAGATGGTGCCCAGGCCCAAGTCTGGACCATAGGGAGTAAGCAGGCATGTGTGCAGTTACAGTCATGCCATGCAGCTAGCTGCACCCGACATGCCCATCCCCCTTCTTCCTCAGGGAGGCAGCTGCGCTACGTTCTCCTCCACCAATTTCTTTCTGCCTCTGTCTCCTTGAGCAAGCTAGCTTGTACTCTAATCAAAATCAGGGGCTCAAGGTCACAGTTAAGCTCCACATTGTTTAATACTTAGTCCTGAGATTAACAACAAACTTCCTGTTCCATCGTAACTTCTCATGCCCTTGGGGAACCACAAAGACTTTATGACTAAGTGGACTATAAAAACCACAAAACTGGTAGGTGGTATTTTAAATAAGCCATAGGGTCTCTGCTGTCCGTGGAACACCAGTGCAGACCTGGGCTGTGGTTGTTACCCCTGTATGGCCTGTGGCCTTCATAGGTCCCCGCTTGTGAGGCATTGTCTATTTGAGGAGAAGGACCCAGATTGTATGTTTGCTGACTATAGCTCATGTGGGTCTCTTGTAGAAGCATGTTGAACCCCGGGGACTGCCGCTATTAGCAGAGATAGTCCAGATTGAGAACCTTTTTTGCCCACTGCAGCCTGGAAGACTGGTCAGCATGGAGTCAGCCTGGCTGGTAATGGAGAGGGTATGTGGACAGCATGAAGGAGCTTGTCTGGTAGCATGAGGTGGTCTTGCTCTGGAGCTGTGTGGAATATGGGAATGGTTACATAACTCCTACTTCTGTTCCCCAAGATGAGGGTCATGGGCTGGTAAGCTATCACACCCCCAGGGATGAGTCACCAGACCTGGAGAGTCAGATTGCCAGTAGGATCTCCTGGTGCATGGCCCTAGGGGTAGACACAGGTGCTTGTTTCCACTTGATTGGGAGACAGGGTGTGGCCAGGACACACCATTCTCAGAACCAAACCTGCTTCCTCTTAACCTCCGGAGTGTACTCAGGGCTGCACCAGAGAACAATGGCTAGAAGAACTCTGAAGGACTCTGGAGTGTGTGGCTTCCTCCAGTCTGTCAGTTTCCTAGTAGGGCAGGGGAGTCTTACAGCAACAAGCTAGCCATTGTGTGTGTCACTTCCTGTATCTAGGAAGACAGAGACTGGAGAGAGTACATCTGTTCTTCAGCCAGGCTCCAG